CGAGTGGCGAGCGCGCTAGGGCTTGGTGCAGAAGACGCCCTCAGCCCAGGGGTCGAGTCCTGGTCGGGGCGAACATTTTCTTGTTGTTTTTTTTTTGGCAGGAGGGGGAGGGGTGGCTGCTGAGTAGGCGGTCAAGTCCACCTCCCCATGTCGGCTGGTCTTTTTTCTTAACCCTTGGTCCCCGCACCGCAAACTACTAATAGGAAAAAATGAGCCTCGGTCAGTATTCGAACCGAAAACCATCCGCGTCCCGGCCGCGCGCTCTACCAACTGAGCCAATGATCAGGGTTTTGCTGAGGTGAAGCTAATCTCCAGTGTGGCTCTCACCCCGAAACATATGGCTGGCAGGGGGGCTAAAGGGTTTAGTCGACTGTCGACGTCGACTAGATTCGAATCAGCGACTGTTTGCGTACCGGCCCATCACATCAGGTGTCGCACTGCTGTCAAGTCGTGGCCAGCGGAGCGCGAAAATTATCACCCGGCCGAGATACGAACCAGCGACCAGATTCATACCGGGCCGGGACACTACCGACCTGGCCACGACGGAACGATACAGAGCACTACTTTCAGCGGCATCTTGATCTAAGCTGTAACCGACGCCCGAAGACACTCTTGGCCAGCAGAGCAGGGAAAAATGACCGCGGATGGGATTCGAACTACCGACCACCCGCACGATCTGTCAACGATCACGCTTTAACTCGCTCGGCTACCAGCTTGCTCCTACGGAGCCGAGGTCTGAGCTCGGTCATGCCTAACGGGAGACAAAAAGCGACAAAGAAAAAATTTGCCCCGCCCGGGAGTTGATCTTAGGGCCGACAAGTTTGGTTCGGATGAAGCTGCATGCGGTCATGTCGACTGGAGCTGCAACTGTTGAACTACAAAAGGGGCGTGTGTTGCCCCATCTGTGAACACATTTTTGTGTCCGCATGAACAGGGACTTGTCTACTACTACCACTTGTCGCCGCGACACGAGCTGTCGCTTGGACGCCTGCAAGGTAGGCCACGGCTTCTGTCTAAGGCATCTGTCGTGACGGGGACTTTGAGCTTAGGCTCCTTTTGACCCCAGGCTCATAATTCCTTTCTACACCTAAGAAAAGACGCCGTGTCAATCTAGGCGCGGGTCGATGATTGTCGCTGAAAACGCCTGGAGGGTAGGCAATGCTTTCCTGAATCAGGCCCCGCCGCGACCCCTTGTCCGGTTGGGTTTAAGCTGTTTCTGGCCCTGTCGGCTGCAGCTACAATTGTGTAGCTACAAACAGGGACGTAAAACGATCGCGGATGGGACCTCACCCTGCCTACTAGGAGTTCTGAGCCCGGTCTTGTCTAACGGGAGACAAGAACGATAAAGAAAAGTTTGCCCCTAAAAGAATGTTCCAAAGTCGGGTTGGATTAAGCTGATCTGGTCGTCGGGTTGGTACAGGGACGTTAGGAACACAGTTCCACCTAAGTGATTGCATGTTCAGTGAGCTGCCTAAAGTATCAAGGGTTTTAATTATCACAGCAGATCGAAATAAATTTTCGGGTTTATTTAAAAACATTTTCTTTTGCAAAAAAAAAACTTACTTAAATATCACAGGTATACAGGTTCAGGAAAATTTACACTAGCTTTCCCTCCATTTTATAAATAAAATAAGTCAACTTGCTCAACTCCACATGAATAACATTTAAGGCTCAAACTAAAATGCATTTCAGATTTTAGTTTGGTTACAACCAATGTTCACTAATGTTCCTAAATTCTACTTTTATTGTAGAAACCAAATTAGCCGCAATGCATTACTTTGAAAGATCAGAACTAATTTTTCATCATTGTTAGATTAATGACTGTCACTTACTAGGACTAAATATATCACACAACAGTAACCATAACTTTAACAAAAGTGTATCAAAATGCCCAACACTTAAAGGAACATATGTGTATGATTTTGGAGAACTAAACACAAATAAAAGAAGAGAATGAATAACAGTTGTAGGTACACTATAAATTTGATCGTAGGCCAACTAATTTTGCTTGAAGGTTAACCCAGTCTAATGTTTTCTGAGCCGCATTCTTCTGTTGGACAAGTGTCTGTGCAGCTTCCTTAAACTTTTCTTCATTTCGGCGGTAGTACATTTCTGCATCCATTTCAAGTTGCGATATTTTCTCTGGGCGAATTTCTGTCATTGTCACCATTTCAGTCAAGTATGGGTTGAACCGATAATACACATTGCCCGGCATCAGATCATTCAAAAGAGTATGCACAGCTGAGAAATTAAATCAAAATATTATTATTAGAACAAGCTATAAGCTGATAATGGGAAATAGTTGATCAAGTAAGGAAAGTTTTACTCACCTTCAGTGTCTGTTGCACTGTCTAAGATCTTATTGAACTTATTTCTCCAAGACGAACCCTTGGCTGCCTCAGCATTCTCACTTTTTACAGTAACTGGGTTACAGCGGCCTGTCCCAAAGGACACCACACATTGAAGTGGGACTCCAGGCCACAGCAATCGAGCTTCATGTATGGCTACTGCAGTAGGATTGTTTACCATTATACCTCCATCCTACAAAACAATATTATTAATTAGTCCATCTGTTTCACCAATGATGTAAAACAATTAGTGAAGGGAGTAGTAAACACATATCACACCTGGTGCAGGAGGTCTCCTAACTTGAATTCTTCAAAGTATGTAGGTGCTGATGATGAAGCTCTGACTGCTTCCCAAGCTGCATGCTGACTGCTTCCTAGATACTGAGACTGAATGCGATGTTGGAGTTCATAATTTCTGAACACGAAGGCAGACACCCGCTCACGATTCACTACAGTAGAGACAGCACTGAACTAGAAGAAAGAACCAGAAATATTTAAAATAGATTTTGACTTGGTAAGGAGAATTTCAACTTTTTGTAACAACCAACTTACCTTTGGACAATTGGAGTCTCGGCTAGTGTGAATGAGCTTGGTGTCTCCCACATAGGTGCGTAACATGTCTTCCCACATAGTTGTGTCATAGTATGCGTGGCTCCATACAAGGTTGCTTGTCCCCCAAATGGGATTTTGCGTGAAGATTTTAGTACTGAGCTCTTTGTACCTTTGTGAAACCTCATCAAGAGATATCCTCTGAGGTCCTGTGAAAGAAAATAAAGAAGTTTGGGACATGCTCTAAAGATTCTTGATGTGTATAACAAATTAAAATTAAAAAGAGGACTTACCAAGAACACAGGAAAGAATTGCTCCTGTACTAACTCCACAAATGTAATCAAACATTTCATAAACTCGTTTTCCCGTCAACTCTTCAAGTTTTTTCAACATTTCGATGACTAAAACACCTCTAAAAGAAGAAAAGAAAAGGACGGATGGATGAGTATGACTTTGATATTTTTGAGACTATTATTGAAGAGGTACAGTAACAGGTATGACAATGTGTAAATACCTGATTCCTCCCCCATCAATGGACAACACCCTAATACCAGGGCCAGGAACAGGATCCACATAACCAAGAATGGTTAAGATTTCTCGGGATATGGCAATAGTTGGTTCATCTTTGGCTTCATTGCGTACCCTGAGCAAAACATTAACAGCTCCTTCCTATAAACAAAAAATACTCCATTAGAATAAAATGTACACAAATTAACATAGCTTGATATATTTCATATTGTTTTTTACCTTTCCAGCATACATTTTTGACTCTGGGAATCGATAAAAGTGTTCCAGAAGGTCTTCCAAGCGTTTTAATCTTGATTGGACACTAACTGCTGATGCTACAGCACTGATCACATGTTGAGTGCGAGAGTGCACAGTATGCTGAACAAAACATTGCAAAGGGATAAATTAATATAATTATCATAGTGTAAATACAAAAATGGTCCTTGCACAATTGTTAAAAAGGGTTTACCTTTGAGACAGTTTCCTTCTGTGTGCGCCACTTTGACTTTTCTTGAATGGCATCTCCAGGAGATTTTCCTTCTTCGCCATTTCCATTTCCAGCAAAAAGTTTTAAATTAGCAAAGACATGGGAGTATTTTGATGAGCTTGGATCAGAGACTGGAGTAGATGAGGAAGAGGGAGGTGATGGTGGAGAATTTCCTGGAGTTCTTGAAGTGGCATTTATTTGGGAAGTAATGTCCAAAGCACTGCCAGCAGAGCCAGAAGTGACACTTGAGGAAGTAGACGATGATGTCAAAGTGTGAGTTGCATTATCTTTTAAATTCTTCTCAGGCGGTGAAGAAAATCGAAGTGAAGGTAGTCTTTGGAGAAGTGACATCCACTCCTTGGTAAGGTTAAATACATATCCTTTTTCTGACCCTTTTGTCAAATATTCTCGAAGTTGTGCCAGTAACTTCCACTGAGTTGCTGAAAGGGCACGCAACTGAGCAGCTGGCATCTTGTCACCTTGGGTTCGGCTAGGACGTAGACGTAATGGACTTGCACTTTGAAAATTCAACTGCCTGCAAGGAAAGCAGAGGGAGAGAGTTAAAACAAAATAAAGATCGAATTACGACACATACACAAACATATTTTGGGAGTTGAAAGTAGGAATATCAATAACAATCTATAATTGTCCTCCAATTTCTAAAGGTTAAGTTTTCAGATCTAGCGCCCCTACACGTTACTTTTCGTCGATTGTTTATTTTGAAGTTCCCAATTTTGTAATAATATTTTAGGCGAAACGCAGCCCTAATTGCTGGTTGCTCTTGAATTTCCTCCCATGTTGCCCGATCAGCTGTTGCGTGTGCGTCCCTCTATGACACAACGGTTATTGGCAACTGTCACTTGGTTACCTCTATGTTCAACCGTTAAAGTCGACGGCGTTCCACCAGACACGTACACCATACGACGGGCTCAACTTGCACCGTTTGTCAGAGATAAGGTGAAAACGGCAGATCTCGATAAAAAGGTTTCGTTCGAAAAAAGAGGACACACAACATAATCAGGGACTTTGTTTGGGCTGTAGCAGAAGAAGCAGACGAGATTGCTCGATTGCTCCGGAAAAACGACAAAACAGCGTCGGCGTGTCTGTCTGCACGGTGGCGCCACGCCCCACAGCGGAGTGGGGCGGAACCACGAGCGATGCGCGAGGTTCAAACAGCGCCGCGCGCCTGTGCCAGCGCGGGGGCCAGCGCAGCCAGCTCACAGCGTGTGTGACGAGTACTGTACAGAGGCGTCCACGGCAACGGAATTAAGAGAGAACGAGGAAATTGCTCGTGCTGCTGGCCGAAACGCGGGAGTTCCATGTACCCCTGCCAGAGCGCATAGACGTCCACAGTCTCTTGTCCACAATGCGCGCACTAACCAACCACGCACCCCAGCCCCACTAATTCACTTTGATCACTCACTCCGGTCACTAGCACAGATCGATCGTATCACTTTGCGTTCACCGGGTAATCCTTTTACCTCCTTGGCGTGAGGCAGACGCAGCGCTGGCACTGCCGAATGTTCTTGCTGAAGGACATGGCGGCGAGCGCCAGGTTCGCTCCGCGGGGAAGTCCGGCCGTGCGGCCCGGGGCGCGCGGGAGGGGGCTGTCACCACTCGGAGGGGCTGAGGTTGAGCGCAAAGGAGAGCCGCGAGGAGAGAAGAGAAGACACCAAAAAGGAGAGCGGGTGTTTTCCTTTTTTTTCGCGACCTCGAGGGATAGAGAGAACTAGACTGCTCGGCTGCTGGTTCTCGACTGACTGCCCGCTTGTTTACAGTCAGCTCTTTTATCGAATCGGTCCTCGCGCGTGCGAGAGAGGCAGGGAGGGCGGGAGGGGCGGCAGAGGGACAGAGAGAGGGAGAGGGAAGCAGCGAGAGTGAGGTGCTGCGCGAGCCGTGGCGTAGTGTTGTGATGTTTACTCTGTTTACTCCGCGGGTACATTGTAGTGTTGTAGTGTAATCCCGAGGAAGGGGGGAGGGGGCACCGCCAAAGGTGTGTGGCGAGGCTCCGAGGGCCGGATGAGAGGAACGGACAAACGAAAACACTTACTAAACGCGCAAAAATTTTCGTTGCTTCGCTATTTGTTACAGAGCCATTCGGCCCCCGAGTGAGTTGGCAACCCGTGTACCGAGTGATTCAGGGAAGAAACAGATGTGGGCCGGTTTGCCTACCTAAAGGGGGTCATGGCGCCTTCAGGGCGGGGCGAATAGACAAACCCGCACGCGCCTGCATCTTCTCTGAATCACCCGATACACGACGTGCGTAAGCGATACTGTTACTACCACGGCAGTATGCAGATCTTTCTTATCTCCTTGGTATGGTGTGTTTAGGAAGGCGGATTCGGGCAAATTGCTGTAAACGGTCGACATAAATAATTAGGAGTCAGTGATTTAATTCTGACCGGTCCGTGAGACCTTATACCTATTGGATTGGGGTCAACAACCTTCCAGTCTGGAGAGTTGAGACCATGAGCGGTATGGCGATCTCCGCAGACCCCCTCCCCTCCACACCCCCACCGCACCGACTGACTCGCATGAATGAGTCACTGGACAACAACAACACCAATGACAACAACCTCTGCCAGAGTAACGGCCACGTGCGAGCAAGTCGCAGTAACGTGTTTGTGGTGTTTCCTCTTCCCCCACTCCGGTTGCTTTTCGCTTTCAGTTCGACGGTGACCCCCCTTCCCCCTCCCCCTCCACGTTACTCCCCTCCCGGTGTGGCCTTCTGCTGTCAGGGAGCCTTGGCCGCCATCCGCGCTCGCGGGCAGAGCAGAGGGAGAGGGCTTCCCTGCCGGCGGGGCGTGGCGGGGCGGGGCGTGGCCGGCTTGTAGTTAGGCCCCACGCGCGAGGCCCATCACCTCAAAGACAAACAACAACAAGAGAAGCGGCTCGTGCCGGAAGCAAAGCAGCCCACCCCACAGGGCGTTGCAGGACCGCACTTCTGCATCAACAGGGTCGTGTTTTCACATAACTGGCGCCGCCCCTGCAGGTGCTTCACAGACTCGTGGAGTAACTGCGCTGATAGCACAATAACAAGTTTGTAAATACTTACTTACTACTACGCATCCTCCTATAGCCGTAAGCTTACCATCGCAAATCTGAGTGCGCAGATTATCGAAGAATTGCCGTTAGGTTTTTACGATTTGTATGTGCCCAGTCAGTTTTCAGTGGTTTTCAGGCCAGGGCGACTCTACCGTTTTCCATGCTAGTTTTCCAGTCAAATCCACAGACCAAACCAGTGCTTATTTTGGAATTTGCTTACACAAATTAAGGGTACATTAATAATTAAGCCCGGTTAAAAATCTGCACGACTGTGCCCATCTAAATGTTAAATGTATTCGTGTGCGTACAATCTTTTTACCAATCAAATCCAGTCACATCTAATCTCTTGACGTGTAGTCAGTGTACACTCATTTCCGTAGAGACGTGCCCCTAGGGTTTTTGAGCACCACTCGACAGTCTTGTCGACCATGTGCGACCAGGCCCGGCGCGTATTACCATACTTTCTACAGAGCCAACCTGCAGGAGGTAACATCTGACATCATTGGCATACGAACGTCGGAAAAAAGACCCAAGACATCCCCACTGTGTAGCCGCCAACTGGCGCACGGGAGCCTGTCTGGTGATCCGCGGCCCACGCGACAGACGCCTACACGTATGGAGTGTGATGACGAAAACGTAAATCATTATCGCACTTCTGCGAGTTATTTCCATTGTAATCGAAAGTCACCCGCTTCCCCCTTCGTGCACACTCAGATGGGCTGACGTGGGGTAGACGCCGATGCGCATGTTTATTGCGGTACTCATCGACTGGTGCGAGTGCGATAGTCGCAGTGTGAGTAAGTGTGTGTGATAGAGTGAGAGAGATACAGTAAGGGAGTCCTTACCTATGACAACAGTTTCTAGATACGCCGCGGCGCGTGCCAAGGCCCCCCCCCCCTCCCCCCGCCCCCGCGCTGATAACGGAACCACACACAAGAAAGTTCGATTCCCCCAGTCGCGTGCGATAACTGTTGGTTTTCTTTTAAATCCATGCACATTCATTTCAACTCGTCCACTACCCCCTCACCCCCCCCCTCTCCCCACTCCCACGCACGTCAGAAAACTGCTGCAGACGCGCACCAGACGCATTCAGCCTTTTCTCTTCATTGTTTATGATGTATTTCCTGCAGTATTGCGTGGAGCTGACGCGGCTGACGCGGCTGACGCGTCTTGCAGGCAACGCGTCAGCCGGGAGCACATATCAGTGGTGCGATCGGTGATGTATTCCGCTATCGCGGCGAGCCCCTCCCCCCCTCCACTCCCACTCATGGTCATGGGCACTCCCTGTCATGCAGGCACGGTTTGAGGAGGGGGGGGGCGATCGCGATCCCAAGTCCCCCCCCCCTCCCCTCCCGCTTTTCCAACTGTCGTCACTACAAGTAAACCACTTGAAAGGGACTTGATGCAATTTGGGCTTCAAACGAAAAACCCCCTACAACCCGCGCGGGTGCAGCACGCAGTGCACGCGTTCATGCCGTAAGTGCGCGGACCTAGAGTCCTAGAGGACTCTACGCGGACCGCGCCGCCGGCCCGTGGCCGCAGACAACAAGCTTACAGTTGAAGCGCTTCGGCGTGGCGTGGCGTGGCGTGGCGTGGCGGGGCGTGGCGGGGCGTGGCGGGGCGCCCAGCTATTTCGGCGGAGACGCCGCCGCCGGTGGCGTGAGCGGCGGCGCGGTCCCCGCGGCCAATGGGAGCGCCGGGCCGCGGCCGCGCCGCCCCGCGGTCGCCAATGGGTGCAAGCGCGGCCGCACACGCCCGCCGGGCCGAGGACGCGGGGCGAGGCGCACGGGGAGGGGGGGGACGTGTTTTCGCGCCTCCACGTGGATTCCCTCTCTGCGCCTCGCGGCCGCACGCGCCACACCTGGCCGAGCCTCTCCCAGAAGTAGTGACATCGGATCAAAACATCACCAGGCCGATATCGACGGCCGAAAAGATCGTCGATTTTCGTGTTGAATCGACCCTGAAATTTATAATTATGTTCGAATCGAATTTCTGATATTCGATATAGTTTTGATACAATTTCGAGTGTAAATCGAGGGTACCCAGAAATCCAATGTAATACGGGGAAATCTAGAGGATAATCCAAGTAGCCTAGTGTGGGGTTGTAACACGAAATCTGCTCAGAGTCGGAGGACCGGTCCGAGGATGTGCGAAAAGTGTTACACTCTCTGTCATGGTGTGGCAGTCCTTGTCGTTGTGACCTAAAAAGGTGTCCTATAATTATGCGCCAAATGTCGCTCTAGATCTAGATTCTGCCCTAAGGCTTCTGCATTCGGGGCATTCCCAAATTGCAGTGTACAGTGGGACACACTACGGCGAAACGAATAAGGGTCGACCTTCCTGGGTATTGTTCGTTTTCGTCCAGCCGAGAGATGGTCAGGTCAGGCCAGGACACCCGTTTCAACGTCCGGGTTATTCGGTGACGGCAACGAGAGTCGTGCCAATGCGGCACTCGCCCATATTGTCGTCCTATTTTTACCGGCTGCTGAGTCCATGTCTATATTCAAGCGACCCCTTCCTCACCGCCGCGGCGGGACAGGACATGGCGCACAGGCTCGAAGAGGGAAGTCCTCGCCGACCCCC